ATAACGTGCCCCGCTAACCGGACATTAGCTCGCGCTAATATTAGTCTCACCGTATATCACATTAGTATATACTTATAATATGTCAAACAAATCACACATACATAAAACACTATCTGATAGTTGGTAATACTGTGCTGCGTGCATCGATACAACTTACAGCTAGTCGAATAATTTTTGGCACGATACTAATACTCCGACCCGTAAACATACTATCTGAAATTGATACGATTATACACTGGACAAGCTTTTCTCGCACTATACACCGGTTTAGATAAAGCATAGCTAATAAAGAGGATCAATGAGGATCTATATGCGCCGACTATGATATACTGCAACCTCCACTAACTCCTCAGCACAATGCGTACTACTAGTGACCAGCTATTAATGGACTCCAAGCCACCCCAATATGATATGAGTCTTATCGGCCTCGCTCCACACTTGACCGCCGCCACCTGACGAAATCCAGATCGCTCCAAGCGATAGTATAGGCGCTAATAATTATCTGTGTCGAACTGCACCTCGAAGAAATTCATACTCGAGCCCAACACTGTAGCGGTTCTTATCCGCGGACAGAACAGTATCTCGTACCTCATCATCCTGCCGTTCACTTGCTTCCACCTCGCGACCCCGACACCCGCCCCGCTACACGCTCCCCGCATACTCTCTCTCCCCCCCCACCTCTCCACTGCGCGCCCTCTGATGAGCCGCAACTCGCCTCTCGCGCCTATTCCACGCCATGTCCAACCCGCCACCGTACCGCCACTACGTCCAACTCGCCCCGCATTGTCGACGCCGATGCCCGCCACTCCCGCACAAACGCCCCGTGCTCGCGCAGGCTCACGAGCGACCATACCCCGCTTATCGTCGCCCAGCTCTCACTCTTCATAACCCAACCCAACGCACTATAGTCCCTATATCACCTGGTCGAAATCCCAAACAGTGGCCCGCCGCCTATTTTGAAAAACATGATACCCTCAACGGTCTCTCACGTCCAACTGCACTAACCAACCCCACGTGTACCCGAGCCCCGCCACGTCCCGGTCCCCTCTTCAGTCCCACCTTAAGCGCCGTCAGAGTCTCCTTGGTCCCCACCCACGTCGATCCACGATTTCCTTTCCCCCACCACCTTCTCCGTCACGATCCGTCCTACCGTCCCAGCACTAGCCGCCGTCGCACGCCTCATCAGATAGACGTTGAATATCGAGGAAGATCAAGCGAATACAACAACTAAGTAAGAAGGTGTGAGGGATGCGTGTATGCGGAAAACATGCAGAGGCGTCTGAAGGTAGGGTCAGAAAAAATCTGACAGAAACGAGAGCAGAGGGAGGTGGAGAAAGACGACGAGAGCTTAGCAGATCCGAAGTTTTAGACAACCCCGAGAGCAAGAGCAAATTCAGCCGCTATGTGAGAGTAGAAAAACATACTATGTCCTAAAAATAACGAAGAGGAACACTCGATAACATTTTAGTTTTAACAATTTAATATCATTAGATTACATGAGCAGCGAAGACAATCATGGACTGCGGTACAGACGACAGACTCCTAACACATATGAGAGAGTCATGACGAGAGACGCACCGCGACTGCGATACTTGCTCCTTCTTGTCTCCTACCAAACATCGTACTTCTCTAATCTCCACTCCATTCTACATCATCAGACCTACCTGACATAGATAACACATCATTACAATAGATCCACCATTAACCACATATTCGCAGTACACACAAGTCGACCAAGAACAAGACGAACGTGCGCACTATCAGCGCACAGACTAAAATTCTTATCATCTACGTCAGCGTAATACAACTCACTGAGTTTCAGGAAAATGCCGCAAAGACTTCAATCTATCCTAAGTCTCTTCCAGCTCCCCGGAAATAGCTTTCCCCCACATCGCTATGCTGTTCAATAGACGAAAACAACCACATCTTCTGTGCCATAAATATCTACATGGAAGCTCATGACTACTGTAGCAATCTTCAGAATCAATCAACTCAGTAAATACCATCTAACAACAATAGCTCATACCCTATAACACAGACCTTCAACCAGAAATACAGAATATTTATAATATCTAATTATATACGAGTTCCACAAATCCGCATCATACATCGAAATCCAATTACCATCCGAGATCCCAATCATCCGACTTTTAGGTTTCCATCTTCAGCCTTCAACATCCTATTTGACAGTAGGATCCCGGTATGCTGTTTGAATGTGTTACGACTGCCTCTGCGATTGCATATACCTCATCATTCACTTGAAATTATAAAATACATTTTATAATGCACAATTAACTTAACGACTGAACATAGCCACTGCGTCTATCATTCTAAGCCATCTATCTCTCTTCCATACTTACTTATACCTATACACTAGCAATTCACAATGCACGATCTAATACAACTACAAATAAATAACACACAAACGCGTATCGTTAAAACTATAATAATAACACAAATTCAGATCATAATTCTAAAGTGTATTTTGACAAATAAACCTGCAATGGACTTTTTCAGTAGTCTGAGTTTATTAGAATTAGGATTGAATATTTCCAAATTATTATAATATATCACATATATTAATAATTAACTAATATAACATGTAATTTTTGTGTGATCTATTCAATAGAAAAAATATAACCAAAGAAGAAACACAAACAACTCCCTGAATGTATATCATAGATAACTAATAGATACCATACTTATCTAAAAAACGATTTAATATAAAGTACGATAGTCATTGTTATAACGAACTTTATTCGATATATATGCATCAAATCTCCAGTGCCCTAGCGAGCAATGGCTTGAAATTTGAAATAACAACGTCTATCATGCTGTCGCATCCTTGCCTACGCATGCCTTCGAGTAACTGTGTCCCTCCTCGAGCGTTCTCGCTCGCGCATCACTTTCATCGAGGCTTACTCTACGCGAATCATCACTACACTACGCGTCGAGCAGAGCATGTAGGGACCTGGATATGTGATGGCGGCGCACGCAGCCCACCCCGCCCACATCCCCGTCCCGCCCCGTCCTCAGCTTTCCCACAGACTTTTAATACTACGGAACACAACCCATCCGTCTCCCGAACCATATATCACTCCCCCTTTATGCCTCGCATTAATGTCCACACACCTTCCACACATATCACCGCCAGTCGTTCCCACCGCAAAACGACCCGCTAGCCACGAGCAAACCGTCTCACCCTCAAAGCTTATCACTTTCGATATATCTACCGTGTATTCTACCGAACCAATACCTCGCGACTATCAACCCGATTCAAACAGTTCCAGTCACCTCTTCCCTCTCCCTAAGTGCCGCCGTTCTCACTACATTACGTGGATCGAATCACTCTACCGGCCAGTCTGGTTCACCTGTACAATCTTATCTCTATGTCCCATCCTCCCGGTATACCCGTCACCGTCCCGTCTCTCGTACTTACCCGTACCGATTACCCACCCATCCGACCTCACCTCCACTGAAAGACCCCCAGTAGGACGTTCGTCCACGCGTCTCCCTATTTCAACAGAGCTCTCCGCGCTCCCCCCCGTCCCCCCATCCATGCTAACCCAAATTCTCGTGCCGAGCACCCTCCGACCTCACCGCTCCACATATCTACCCCACTACTTCTCTCCCTCAGCCACCACCTTCCCCGCACTCACTCATCCATGACCGTCCACACCCGTTCGTCATACCCTCTCTAGCACAACACACCCACTCACTTTCCCGCCCCTGACACCCGCGTTTTCCGACAGTCACTAGTCTCACTTAAAAAGTCGCCCCTGTCCCGTCCGTCCCGCTCCTTATACACGCATCCGGCTTCCAGGAATCAACCCCGATCCATCGATTTCACCCACGCTCGATCAACCCTTCAACCAGATTCCCAGTACTCATCGCTCCAGCACGTCGGCCCCCGTCGAGTTAGTTTCTACTTTACTCACATTTCTTATCCGCCCATCATATAAAATGTTTTGCACAACATAGTCACAAATAATGAAATCATTAGCTACGAACGCACGCCCCGGCGACACACCAGCCCCTCAATAAACACCACTTCCCCGCCCCGCACTGATCAATATGATCAATCCGTCACAGCCCCGCTCACGCACTTGGTCTACACAACACCGACCTACGACCCTTTTGCGCCCGCCCCGCCATCCACCGCCCGGCGCATGACATAAAGTATCCCGCACCATTAATACCCTAGCGAACACGCTATTACGCTAAGCCGACACACGGGACCACAAGTAGGAAATTCAAGCCCCGAGCATACAGCTTCTCCACCCCACCAGCACCTAACAATACACTTAAAAGCACCTCTCTTTGTTCGCGCGCCAGCCCTCGCCCAAAACAAGACAAGCTCACGGCTCTAATCATATCTCCAACTCATCTTCCCGACTTCCCATAGAAGAAAATCCCGTCTCTACCTTTATCTCTAATTCCGTTATAACCTTAAACATCCTGTTTTCTGTCAAAAGAAAAGATTATGACTAAGTTAAACATCTGCTAGATACCAACAACACTTGAATAAATGACAATGATCAAAATATTTCCAAATTTAATAAAACAGTTCAGAATGCATGACAGTAATTTTAATATTCTCAAGACAATATCTATTTACTGAATGAGCTGCGTGCAACTGTACAGCTCCACGAAACAATTCACAGATCGCACGTTCTTCTGTGTTCAAATTAAAAAGTTATTTTTAATATAAGAAATGATGAAAGATCTTCAGAAACCCCATAACCCCTTCCCCGCCCCGCTCTGTCCCGCACAGCCGCGCGCACTGGCTCTCCGCCACGCCCTTGGCGCGCCCGCAGCCACCGCCCGGCGCGGCCGCCTTATCACACACGCGGCGCTGCATCACCGGACCAGCGGAACGCCTCGCCTCGCCTCACCCCGCCCCTCTCGGAAGCACTCCTTTGTTCGCGCGCCAGCCCTCGCAAAACAAACAAGCTCACGGCTAAAACTACACGCACTTCCCGCTCCCTGCGAAATCCCGCTCACTTTCCGTTTCGTACTAAAAAAAAAGATAGAAATCTCGATAACTACAACTTGAAAAGAAATACAATTATCAAATATTTCAAATTAAAGACATTCGAGATGCAGACATAATTAAATTTCTCAGAAATTCGAGATAGCTGGGAATTTAAGTCAACGAAAATCAAGTCGGCGACGTTCTTCTGTGTTCAAATTAAAATTATTTTTAAAAAAGAAATGTAAGTCTCAGAAACTTTCATATTTCGAATTTGGTACTTTTGGAAAAATTCAAACTATCCAATATTTGGATGTAAAGAGGTTCGAAAACCCATGGAAAACAACTAGCTCAAGGATGAAACTGGACGCATTTTCCGTTTCAATCGAAATCCTCCTTCACTTTCCATCCAAATTCTTTCTTACTTTTAAAAAAATCATAGAAACTTCGATAGCTCAATTTGAAAAGAAATTGAGTAATCCAATATTTCCATTTAACAAGGTACAAGATGCCGATATATTTCAATTTTCTGAAAATTCGATGTTACCGGGAGTTCCAGTGAATGAAGTTCGAATTAGCGACGTTGTTCTGTACACAAATATTTAAGATCAAGAAGTTTATTTCGAAAATATAAGTACCAGCAATCTTCATATTTCGCTTTTGGAGGAATTGAAAAACTCGAGTTCTTGAATATTTAAATGCAACGAAGTTCGACATCACTTGGAAAGCAATTAACTCACGGCTAAAACTGGACCCTTTTTCCGTTCCTTTAGAAATCCCCATCATCTCCCTTTCAACAAGTTTCGTACTTTAAAACAATTCACAGAAACCTCTGTATATCGAATTTGAAAAGTCGACTATTTTAATTTAACAATGTTCGAGATGCTGAAGAGCAAAAAGTCGAGATAGCAGGAACATGGAGAGAACGAAGTTCGAGTTAGCAACATCCTTTGGTTCACTATTAGTTAAGTTCAAAATCTTTCAAAAATGTCTTTGAAACCTCTATATTTCGCACTGAAAAGGAATGGAAAAGCTCGAGCAATCGAGTATTTGGATACAACGAGGTTGGAAATACCGAAGAACGAAGAATGGTGTTGGTACGGTATTAGACTAAACGAAAATCTAAGTTCTCGTTTCTACTGTTCTCAAGCGGAGATAGTTTCCTGCGCCCTGTGGTACTCTCTTGTTTATACGACTCTCCATTCAGAACAACAAACACACTCACGGCTAAGACTGGGGCCACTTTACGTTTCCCAAAACATTTACCACTTCGCTTCCAACACGTCTGTTTCCTGGTCCGTACTATTTTTTCTCTTTTATTCAGGTAGCTAATTCACAAGAACATCGATATCACGAATCTTATTCTTTCCACATCACAACTTCAACTATTTCGGTTCAGAATGGAGATTCTCGTTTACGAACACCGTTGATATGAGAAAAGATTATGTAAATGGAAATGAACGAAAATCGATAATCATTGAATATTTGTTACCTCTAAACATTTATAAAAAAGAATATTTTATTTCTAAATACATTCAATTATGGGCTATCAGGATAAGATGGTTTTATAATTTTTTTAGTTGTAAGTCACAGTAAATGTTTTTAAAAATATTTTGAACTTCATTATTACGATATTGATAGAAATTCTAAACCCATTATAAAAAGTTAAACGGCAAATTCATGTAATACCAAATGCAATTACCGAATTCCTTTCTTTTTTCTTCCTCTTCTTTCTTCAATCTCTCTTTTCTATCGAAATTAAGCCTGTGTCATATTCGCAGTTTACGTTCTTCTTCCATTACTTTCTATCATATCTATCATGTTTGAAGGCACATACTTAATATGCATATGACTCTTTCTCAATGTAGTATTGGCTTTTAATTCTAAATTACTTCTTACATAATTATCAGTTATTGAGAATTTGTTATCCTCAGTTTTCTTCTTTTTTCTATTTCTATATTTTATCGACTCATGTGTAAACAACGTTTCACTACTACCCGTATTCCTCACAATTCAAAATCTCTGGCATACAATAGCTTTAACAGCTGATATGAAAATTCCACAATTTTAAACACATTTCATTAAATATACATATTTTTACGATTTGTTATAATTTGTATTTAATGTACATTACCAAGCACAGCCATCCATTGTCACGTAACTCACCTGCAACAAAAAGAATAAACAAATATAAACAAAAGTAAATGATGAATCCCGTAATTACAGTGCATGTTTCTATCGCCGGAGGTGGCGGTGTTCTTCCCCCCCACTCAATGGCGAGATACGGCGCCAACCTACACGTCGGCTTTTCATTTTTCCCTAACCAACTACCTCCCACCAGCGCGGCACCGCCCCAATAGGGACAAACTCTAATCTTCGGACTGGCCTCCCAGCATGTGTGGAACTATAGTGCGTGCCAGAGTAAGTGTAAGTATAGAACAAGGAAGAGGAAGGAAAGACCTTGTGATGATGGGAGGAACCACGGATAACTACCGATTAAACCGCGGCGGCGGTGGTGTAGCGGTTAGCGTACCGGACTGTTGTAGCGGTTAGCGTACCGGACTGTTGTAACGGTTAGCGTACCGGACT